CCATCTTCTCGCGCAAAAGGGCACCACCACGACCCTTGACAAGATCAAGATTCGGATCAACCTCATCTGCTCCGTCAATGGCCAAGTCCAGATGAGGGTGAGCATCGAGGGTTGACAATGGAATCTTAAGGCTAGCAGCTTGCTCTTGAGTCCTCTTCGAGGTGGGCACACCCACAATATCAGTAAGCTCGCCGGACTTAATCAACTCGCCGATCTTGGCCACCACGAAGGCGGCAGTGGAGCCGGTACCCAGCCCAAGAACCATACCACTCTTAACATATTCCACGGCCTTATCAGCAGCCAGTTTCTTGAGATCGTCTTGGGTCAATACTGGGGAAGGAGTGGAGAGGGCTTTGATGACGAATTTAGAAGGTTTCCGCAGATTAAGGTATGAAGAGCCTAGATTAAGGCGGCGGGTGGCATTGCGGTGGTTAACGGAGGAAAGTGAGGTGGGAGAGAGGAGGGATAAGGTGGTGGCCATGGGAAGCGAAAATGGGAGGTTGGTGTGGAATTTGGTGTGTGCTCCTCTCTTGCCTGATCTTCCAGTGAAGTGATTGGGTTTGTTGGATCGGTTTTCTATTTATAAGGCACGTGGCTGCCTTTGAGATTCGCCCTTTAATTTGTCATTGTAGTGAAAAAGTTTCAGAAAAATGGATTCACCATTTTTAAGGTGAAAATAAAAGCCAAGGAATTGGAGTTGGTGGCAGTGGCGTGAATCTTGAGATTAAAAAAAAAAGGATCGTGGGTGTTAGGTGGGTGACCACAAGTCTGAGTCGAGCAACGAAATTTTTCTTGCGAATTTGAAAATGCATTTTAAATTTTAATAAAAAAATATAAAAATTGGTAAGCTACTCATCCACCAAGAGACGAGTTGATGGGGTAAGTCGTCGAGTCCATATTTGATGAATCGAGCCAACTTGTCTCACATACAGTGGCGGATTCAAGAATCTGATTGAACTAGGACGATCGTTGATCATCAACGACAACACTAGCAAGATTATTTATTAATATTTTATTAAATATTAAAAAATTCTCCCATCAATATATATATACACTAAAACATAAAAATCATATCTATTTAAATTAAAACATAGGGTCACCAACAACATTGCGTTAACAACAACAAATTTCAATTTCGAGAAGGCAATAATTCCAATTTCCAAAAACTACACGAGTTTGAGTATTTCCGTTTGGCCTCCAATATTTCCCATTAAATTATAATTCAT